ACTTTGAAAAAATACAAACAAAAATATGTGGTCGTAGATCTCCAAAATATCTACAGGACTATATTTTTTATTATTTTTTTTGTTAATTTTTTGCCTGCAAAAAAATCTCTGTAAAAAAAAGAAAAACCCACCCATTTCATGTTGTTTTTTAATTTTTTTTTCTTTCGTTTAATTTTTTGATTTTTTTTAAATACAGAAAGAGTTCAAAAATCAAAATAAAAAATACAAGGTTGTAGATCTCAAAAAGATCTACAAACCTGTATTTTTGGTTTTGTTTTTTTGCTTATTTCTTTACAGGGTAAAAAATACTCCCGCGCTCGCTCAAACCCCGCTCAAGCGCTTTTGAGCGCGGGATTGAGCGGAGCTCAAAAATTTGAGCTCGGACCCCACGCTAAATCAGCACGCGGTTTCACAGACCCCGCCCTTATCCGAAAAACGAGAAAAACAAGAACACCCATGCAATCCAACGGCACATCCCGATCCGACCCGATTCGACCTCCATAGTAGCCTTGCGCAGAAAGTCGCGCGGTTGCGGAAAACAGTTCGTCACAGTACAGCCTCACTTGGGACGAGGCAGAATGGCCCTTTTGAGATAAAGCAGAAGGGCTACAGCTGGGGAGCCACGCTCTCCAGTGCTACACTTGCACATTCTATTCTCCCCAAGAGTAAATGATGTGCATTTCTTGTTCTACCACGAGTCCAAAGGCTACATAGCGGAGACCGCTGCAAGCATAGCTACCTCTCAAGGTGAAGGGGATATCATTGCATGTTGCTCCTTGCCCTGGTGGTTTAGGGTGCAGGGTTGATGCGGCTACCGTCTTCACCCGAATAGAACGCCCGGTAATAATGACCGTATCTGGACTGAAAGCTGCATCAAATACAGCTACAATGAGCAGGCGTTCTATTCGGGTGAAGACGGTAGTGGGGATCCGGCTAACCCAAAGACGGAGCATTTTGCCAGTAGGTGCTTGTGTTGGGTACTGGTGTCTTTTGGTAAAGGGCTGGAGCCCTTTACCAGTATTTTGGTCTCCGGGAGTAGATGCTCGGGTTGGGCGCTCTTTACCAAAAAGGTCTCGCTGTGGACCCTTTCTGCCAATTCTCCACATTCGGTCCCGGGACTTTTGAAAACTCGATTTTGTTTTCCAGCTGGTAGGAGTACTGGTGGTTTAATCTTGAAAGTGGGACACGTTCTCCTTCCTTGAACGAGCAGGGTCAGGGACACACAGAAAAGATGTCCGGCGAAGACAACGTCATGGGTGCTGCCATGTGTATTCTGCAAATTCGCACTGGCATCAGAATATGCACGGCAAGTATTCAAAATAACTGCTGGAAAAAAAAAGAAAAAAATATTGGTGGGGCCATCAATAGGAAAAACAGGCGCGGGAGGGAAAGGGCGTCACTCCACTACTTACCATGTTTACAAAAGACAAAAAATACAGCCGTGTATCTTTCCATGTTCTAGCAGAAGTTTCATTCTCGTTTTGCACATTTGGTGAGTAGTAGAGGGAGGCCCAAAGTATGGCACACTCAACTGTCTTAACACAGATTTTTTTATTATACAAGATTGGGATGTTTTCAAGGGGTGAGCATGAAGCAGTATGGTAGTATTGTCGCCACAATGATCCAGCGGCCTAGCTCAGTTGGTAAGGCACGCGAGTGGTGGCTCATGGTTCAAGTTAGAGCACTGGTTGGAACTGCGCATTGTGGGAAATGCACATGGGTTGCTTGTGGGTGTTGGTCTTGGGTGTTCTGTTGATCTTGCTTGTCGGTGTTGGTCCTGGGTGTTCCGTTGATCTCCCCAGTCTAGCATA